TCAGTGTTCCCATGTTCTGTTCAAACAACTGCCTCTTGGTCCATGTACAGGTTCCTCATGAGCACAATTAAGTGCTCCAGAGTACTCATGCTTCGCAATGTTGTCCATAGCTTGTCATGATCCACACAATCGAAAGCCTTTGCATAGTCAATAAGGCACAGGTAAACATCTTTCTGGTATTCTGTGCTTTCAACCAAGATCCATCAGACATCAGCAATGATATCTCTCATTCCATGGCCTCTTCTGAATTTGGCTTGAACATTTACTTTATACATAGGTATATTATACAACTCCTGACATATGGAAAGTGCACTGGCTCCATACAATATGCTCTGGACTGCGAACGACAAGATTGACAGTTTGAACCCACCAGCAGCTCTGCTGGAGAAAGATGAGACTTTTCTCCTGCAAAGATTTAAAGCCTTGGGAACATATACAGGGTCTCTGTGAGTCGAAACAGGCGTGACAGCACTTAACAACAGTATCCTGGCGTGTAGATTAGTCTGTCTGTGATTTGTACTATTGGAGTGATCTCTGTGGTTACAATCTTTCTCTAGTGATCTAATTACCCATAACATTTTTTTAATAGTGAAAATAAATTGGCATAATTAAAGATAAAACTTTTAAATTAGTGAGTTCCAGTTGCATGTTTGTTAATGTATGACTGAAATCCTAGTAATAACTGTTTCTTAGAATTAGGAAGATTGACTTAGAAGAAAAACTCTTTTTTTTTTGTCTTTTAAAATGCAATTTTAATAAATGAAGTATGCTGGGAAGAAATGTAGAGTGCAACATGCTTTATCCACAAGTTCTTAGTGAAGATTGGAGCAAAGCACTGTTATGGATGGGTCAGCAGGTGATTATTAGAATAAACAGGACAGGGACGAGTGAAACAGCAAACATCCTCATCAAACAAGTTCCCCGTAGTTAGAAATCTGTCCCAGAGTGTGATTTGATGACATGCAAATAAATGTGCCCCAGTTGGCACCATGAAGATAAATACTGGTGCCCCTTCCCCTGGAGTTGGTGTACTCTACAGAACAACCATGTCTACATACAAGATAACACATACAAAGATAAGGTAAAGGGGCAATAAAAAGAATAATAAAAGGCAAAAGAGGGTAATAAAAGTGGAAGGCCACTATGGATAAATGGACATTATTCATTGTCCCTGCTTAGGGTGAGTACCCATTTCCTGATAGCTATTCTAGACATCCTGACATCAGAAGCATTCCTTCTAGCTTTGCTCCACTAAAACGGCTTAATAGAGCTCTGCGTTTCTTCAGAGGGCAGTCAGTCATCTTCCACTAAGGTCTGTACTTTACTTTGTGTCCATGAATAGCTATTATGTCCATTAGTAGCTAGGCAGATGGGGCGAGAGGGTATAGCACAGATGTGCATCCAAATAGAGGAAAAACATCTTGTTCATTCCTGAACACATACTAGGCTTTTGTATCTTGCAGCACTGAGTTGAAAATGTTAGTATAAAATGTGTGCCCTGTCTAATGTAAGAACTAAGTGCTAACAAGCATTATAATAAGTGTTTGGAATCAGTATACTATAGCTTTATTATATTCCTCTTTCAGATGCCTTTGGTGCTTCATGAAGAATATTACCAGATATATCAGAGACATCAAGCCTTTGCCTCCCAACATAAAAGATAGACTAATCAAAATAATGAGCATACAGGGGCGGATAACAGATTCAAATATAAGTGAGGTAAGAGAATATATAACTTTAAATCAAACATATTAGTTTTTACTATTTGGATGTGGTTTTAGACTTTGGGAGCAATGGTATATAGTAGGATTAGTAATCATTGTTCAACATAATAAAGCTTCATTTTTTTCCCCTCCAGATAACCAAAAAGTCCATACATAATAATTCTTTAAAAAAAGAACTCCCACTTTCCACTATTTCCCTTGTCTTCATACCAACACCCTGGATCTCCATCTTTTCAAGTAGTATAAAATGTGTTTCTTAAGATCCAAAGTAAAAAATATATGTCACATCATGGTCCCATACGCACAAACCACAGATATGTATGTGTGACAATATTGTGTGCGGTACACTTTGATATTTGTTTTATTTTATTGTATCTTATTTTTAAAGTCTTGAGCATAACACTTTTGAAAGCTGATTTTATAATCAATTAATGGATAATAACAATCAGCACTTTAAAAATCACTCTTCTAAATTTGTCCCATTCGTCTGAATACTTTGCTCCCTTCCCTCTAACTAAACAAACCTTCAGGACACCTACGCCTCTAATTGACTTTTCTATAAGGCAATAAGTGTAATAAGGCCCTCTAACCAGAATTTTTTTTTTTTTTGGATGGCAAACAGATTGTTTTATTAGTTATTTATGTATGTATGTATGTATGTATGTATGCATGTATGTATGTATTAGAAAATATCACCATGGAGTCATAGATTCTTATTTATTTAATATTTTACAGTTAATTTCCTTCATTATTTTTGCTTTCATGCTCAGTTGTCTTAAATATGACTAGAGAAAAGCCTTCAAACATTATCATGTGTCTTTTGGGGACTTCCTCATTCTTTCTTTTTTTTTTTTTTAATAAGTTTTTATTGTGAATTGAGTGAAAGTTTATAGGGCAGATCATCAGTTTTACATTCAGCAAATCATACACCTTGTTTATTACATGATTATAATCCCCTCCATGTACCATCAGTTAACAGTATTTCTCTCTATTCACTTTAACTCTTTTTTTTTTT